CGCACTGTTCAACATCTTCATCAGTGACTTGGACGAGGGGGTAAAAAGCACCCTGTTCAAATATGCAGACGACACTAAGATGTGGGGGAATGTGGGCACGCTAGAAGGGAGGAATAGGCTGCAATCGGACCTAGACAGGTTACAGGGGTGGGCGGATGAGAATAGGATGGGATTCAACACTGACAACTGCAAGATGCTGCACCTGGGAAGGAAGAACCAACACCATACGTACAGGCTGGGGAACTCCCTTCTTATCAGTGCAGAGGCAGAAAAGGATCTTGGAGTCATCATTGATGCCAAGATGAACATGGGCCGGCAGTGTGGGGATGGAGTCAGGAAGGCTAACCGCACCTTGTCATGCATCCACAGATGCACCTCAAGCAAATCCAAGGAGGTGATACTCCCTCCCTATGTGGCACTGGTCAGGCCACAACTGGAGTAGTGCATCCAGTTCTGGGCACTGCACTTCAGGAGGGATGTGGACAACATGGAGAGGGTCCAGAGGAGGGCCACTCGCATGATCAGCAGGCAGCAGGGCAGGCCCTATAAGGAGAGGCTACAGGACCTGAACCTGTTCAGCCTCCACAAGAGAAGGCTGAGGGGGGATCTAGTGGCCTGTTACAAACTAGGCAGAGGGGACCAGCAGGCATTAGGGGAGTCCCTGTTCCACCGAGCACTACCAGGACTGACTAGAAATAACGGTCACAAGCTGGCAGAGGATAGATTCAGATTAGACATCAGGAGGTGCTACTTCACTGTCAGGGCAGTTAGGATCTGGAACCAACTTCCAAGCGAAGTGGTACTGGCTCCTACCCTGGCGGTCTTTAAGACAAGGCTAGACGAACACCTTGCTGGGGTTGTTTGACCCCAGTACTTTTTCCTTCCAAGGGAAGGGATTGGAGTTGAAGATCTGCTCAGGGCCGTTCTGACTCTACAAACTATAAACTATGAAACTACGTGCAGGGCTATTAGGCTGGAGTAAACTAATTAACTTTGCAGCATGGTAGTACTTGTAAATACATGTGCTATCCTTCTGTGGAGTTTTTTACTCCACAGCAGTTCATGTGTAGATGCTTACATGGCTGGCTGAAGCATAAGGGTGCTTCACTGTGCAGGGGCTGCCTGCTGACTAGCCCCACACTAGAGAACTCTCATGCCCCAGCCAGCCTATCCACAGCACGTTAAACTGGGTGGGAGCAGCCCCAGGCTGGCAGGTTGACCCCTCCTCCGACCCAGCCCAACATGTTGCTGTCCCAGGCGCACATGTTAATATGGCACTCAGGAACAATAAACTCCAGTGCAAAACCAACTCCCTTTGGTTGGTTTTGCATCCCCCAGAGAACAACAGAAGGCTTCCTAGGAGACTAAATATTGTGACATTTGCATTCTAAGGGTCTGATTACAAGCTATTAATGTAGTTACTCTCTTTCACATAACTGGATGACAGCAATTCCTGTTAGGACACTCCATCCACTCCCTGCCTTTCCAATCCAATCCCCATGCACCTGGATGGATGAGAAGTATAGTAGCAGTTCAGCTTATTTCTGTCACGATTGTGTTCTGTGAATACCCAGTGAGAAATATGTAGGTGCCTGGAATTGGGGATGAGGGCAGGAACTTCCATTATGATTGGTTCTTGCTGAGATGCAGGGTGAGGACAGCTGCGTTCCCTATACACTCAGTGTCTGTGTTTCTCTTAGAAAGATGGGTTGCTGCTAGTGAAGTACAGACGCAAGAGGCACTGCTTCTTCCTTAGATGGGGAAGAAGCTCCTCCTCCTTCTTCCACAACGAGCTCTTTGTTCTCAGAATTTCTGAAGAGAAAGATCAGATAGAGCTTATCTGACACAGCAGCTAGGTTCCATTTAAGCTTTCTAGATCAGTCTATTCTCCACCCATGACAACAACATAAGGCATTAAATTTCAAAAAAAATCTTTTCAAGTCTTCTATTACTTTTTGCATCCTACAAGCCCAGGCAGTGTGCTCCCTGAGCATACTTCTCCAGTTAGCTGTCATTTAGCCAATTTAAAAATGAACATCATGTTTAATGGCAGGACCAGATCACCTGGTCAGGAAGTCCACACATTTGAGAGTGTTTAGATCTAAATGATCCTGTTTTCTCTCTTGTGTTTTAGGGTTTTTATTGACCTTGGTAGCATGGCCCCATTGAAGGACATTGAACTGAGAACTGGATTGAAAACAGAACCAAAATAAAACTAACCTGCTATATCACCTTGCACAAATCACTTTTCCTGTTTCCCCCTTCCATCCAGAGTCAGACACATATTGGGCATGTCTACACGTAAAATTAATTTGACTGAATAAACTATGGTGCAGTTTGCACCAGAGTTTATTGCTCCTAGGCACTGTGTTTACACGTGTGCCCAGAACCACAGCATGTTGAGCCAGGTCAGAGCAGCCCCAGCAGGCAGGGAGCCAGAGGGCCAGCCTGCCAGCCTGGGGCTGCTCTGACCTGGTTTAATGTGCTGAGGAGGGACAGGTGGGAGCACAAGGGTGCTCCACTGTGGAGCTATCCAGCAAGAAGACCCCTGAAATGAATCACCATCATGCCCCAGCCAGCCCCATCAGTGTCTACCCATGCATGGTGGTGCACTAAATAACACCACCATAGGATAGTACTTGTGTTGATTTGCATGTATTAATTTACCGTGACATAACAAGGTCACACATATAGACACTGGGCACATCTCATGTTCATTAATGCGCCTTTGTAGGTACTGCGCATTTAGTTTAGTACTTGCTTAATAAAGTACTAACTAAATGCATAGTACCTAGAGTTACTGTGCAGTAGCACCAGTACATGGTTATTCAGTGACGCTTGCTGAGCATTAGCTTAATAATACTGAGCAGTAGGCTATTAGCAATGTTTGTCCTATGACACGCTACTATGCAGTGCTATTAGGCTAATGCGCAGTAAGCATCTCATGTAGACACACCCGCTGAGACTTTACTGTGGAGCTGGCTAGGCAACTCCACAGTAAATATCTCATGTAGACGCACCCACTTATAAATACTTAAGCTCTTTGAGATAGAGGCAGTCTCTTCTCTTACTGTATGTTTCTACAATGCTTAGAAAATCAGACAACAATGCCTAGAATCTGCAATGGACCTTAGAAGCTAGTGATGCAAATAACACCTTATAAGGGAACTTTGGTTTGCATGCTAGAAAATATGTTGCAATTTGCCCCTTATGACCTATCTCAAAGCAAATGCTGATCAGACTCTGGAGACTGGGAGAACAGAAGACTTAAAGCTAGGGAATTTCTAGCAGGTGGGAAAAAATTGACTCTCCAGCAATGAACATAAACCAATTTTAACTGAATCATGGCTGGTTTAGGACTGGAGACTGAACAAAACCAAGGGCTAATTTTGTTTTGAGTCAGTTATACGTCAGACTCAAATCTTTAGCACAGATTTGGCTAAATTTTCCCCATACATCGAAAGAGCACTTTAAACATCAAAAGAGAACATTGATCAAATCAAGGTTTTGGTAATTCAGTGAGAAGACTAGAATAAATGGCCAGATCCTCAGGTTTCATGGGAGCTAACAGTGGTCAGCACCTCTGAGCAGGTGCACTGCAGCATTCAGGATTGAACCCAACAAGTAGAATAGTGTAGCAAGCAAGTCTAGGAGCTTGTGGACTAGTATTAACGTGAAGCTTATGTAAATTGCACATTAAGTAGGTTACAGTGCTTCCACTTGGCAGAAAAAGAACCAACCATCTGGACTGATGTGATTAGCAAGGTTCATTCTAATATTCTTTGACTAAAAAGAGGATAGTTTGCTGGAAAAGGATATACATGCAAAAAATGGAAGGTTTCTTTAAGCCTTATTAATAGTAGAAGTTGTGCTATGTAACACCAATTCATTTGGGTAATGAGGTGTGCTAATTTTTAGACTAAGTCCAGTTTAGATACACAGCATGCATATGCCCTGTAATAGAAGTGTTTATTAATTATATTTAATTGTCATCGTTTTTCCTAATGATAGTAACACTCACCCCCGTTCATTTCATTTCCGCAATGGTGATTAGTGAGAACAGAGAGCATGGCTGAATAGGCAGCTGGAACTAGGGAACCACAGGCTGCTGCTGCAGACAAATAGGCCCTCAGCAAGCCAGCCATCAGTATAGTCATCCAGGCCATCATGCTCCAGTAGCTAGGAAAAGGGACACTTGTCCAATCTATCACTGTATGGGGACCAAGCATACATGACAAACAGAACACTCTTTCACATGTGGATGTCCACATCACTATACATATTTAAATATAATTTTCCAATTAGCTGATCTGTGCTGTTTTATAGGGCTAACTACTGGTAACCTCCAGATCATTCACCCTAGTGACGCTAGATTTATAGTTCCTTATAACTGCCTTCACTAGGGGGAGAACTGGTGACATGAATAACACATGCACATACTTTTGAGGTACAACTATAGCTTGTAAAATAACATTTAGTCATCAGGGGGTGACATGGTCTCACACACACACGCGCACACACTTGAGCAAGTCTCTTGGATACACACAAAAAAGAGTCTATCAGAGTTTAGCCAAATACTTTTAAATTTTGAGTAGTAAAGTTCAATTTCAAAATGCTGCAAAAGTGTTAAAAAACCCTGTCCAGGCTGGTGCTAAGGAAAGAGATTCTGATGTCTGTATAATTCAGGACTGTTCAACTGGCAGCCTGCAGTCTACATACAGCATGTGATGGGTTAACCCACAGTCCATAGCTTCCAGCAGCCACCAGTCCCCCCAGTGCTCCTGCTGCTGCACCATCTGGGATCTCTGGGGCAGGGCAGTATAGTGAGAGGGCATCTGGGGAGGCCAGTCTTTGTGCAGTGGGGGAAAGGGCCCTGGGGACCCCTGTGGCATGCAGCCCATATGGTGTAAGACATTCATAGATTCATAGTTGGTAGGGTCAGAAGGGCCCTCAACAGATCATCAAGTCCGACCCCCTGCCTAGGCAGGAAAGAGTGCTGGGGTCAGATGACCCTAGTCAGATGCCTATCCAGCCTTCTCTTCAAGACCCCCAAGGTAGGGGAGAGCACCACCTCCCTTGGAAGCCCATTCCAAATTTTGGCCACCCTTACTGTGAAGAAGTTTTTTCTGATAAAATAGAGGTCTGTGACCTGGAAACTGCATGTCAAGCAGCCCCTAGTCACTCAGGGCATGTCCAGACATACGTGGATGTTTGGTTCCCCAAGGACAAGTAGCACCTTATACCACAACTACTTGTGCCTGCGTAATACCCGTGCCACGTGAGTTTTGGTATGCAGCAAGTTGCCCCGGATGGGGTAGGGGAGGCTGGGGACAGCACTGGGCTGGCCCCAGCAGCCTTACCTAGGGTCCTGGGAACATCCTAAGGCTGCAGCCATGGCAATTCTACCACGTGGAGCCTGACTGGCAGCGGAGCATAGCTGCTGGCAGCCCAGCTGAACTTTTTAGCAGCATGTGCTTGCCAAGCATGCATTGCTCTGGGTTTCTGCAGTTTCTTTTTACCCCTGGATATCTAAGGGGGCAAAAAAACCCACGGAAAAAAAGCCTGACACAGTGCACACTCGGGCCGTGCACCTTTACAGCACAGAGGTCACTGGACTATGTGGTATGTGGTTTTGCAAACGTGTTTGCAGTGCCACATACCACATGACCGTGCTTGTCTGGATGTACCCTCAGAGGTTGGACAGCTCTGGCAGAATTCAATAAAAGTGGTGGATGTTCAGTTAAATAGGATAGGTATGGGAATATTTTGTGTGTGTATGTGATTGCGCGCACCTGTGTGTGTATAAAAATTGTCTTATTTATTAAAAATGAGAATTTTTATCAGCTCTCCTATTCAGCACCTCACAGGCCTCAACTCTAACATTCATAAAATTTCACACCATCTAAGGCATTACTGATCTAATTCTCCAGGTGGAAAAAGTAAGTTACCACTCCCCATCTATAAGTTATACTGACCAGACAGGTATAGAGCTGGAATTAAGAATCCCAAAGGTTTGGTTTAATAGTACATACACAGAAAAAATAACTTAATTTAACTAAAAATCATAAAAATAAAATGCAGACTACAGTAATTAATCCAGCTCCTACCTCTGTAGGTTGAAGAGGCAGGTAAACCAGTGTGTCCCTGTTAAGAAAATGGAAACAGAGTGTGAGGAGGACAGTTAAGTGTTTCATACCTCGGTCAGCGAATAGCACAGCTCTCAACAGGAAAATGAAAGGTGGCAAGGAAGGAAGGGGTGGAGGACGTGCTAGTCGAAGAGTCTTTCTGTGTTTCCTTTATTCATCAAAAAGAAATATAGTGGGATTCTCTGTAGCTGCTTAGGAGAGACTTGTGGTACCCAGTGACTAGTGTCTCTTATGTGGCTGGGGCCCGCAAAGAGTTTCTTTGTGATTACTGGTAGGGTCAGCGGCACTTCCCAGGTCCAAGAGGTTCAGGGAGGAAGGGAGGAGTTTGTTCTGGAAGTTCTCAATTTCACTTTTTGACATCAGGTTAATTAATTCTGGATGCGTGTAAATATAAACAAGAGCAATCTAAGTTTATGTAGCCTTCTATGAGACATTCTTTCCTCAACACTGGTATGGAAGACTTAAAAAAAAAAAGTGTGGATAGTCAAAAAGTAAAGCATCATTTCAACCTGCTGCTTTCCTTCACATTGTAGGATTATTTTCAAGAATAAAATCTTACTTTTGTTTTGAGAATAGGCAGAAACAATGCTTAATAAATCAATCTCCTCTGGATCTCCTCTGTTTCTGAAACTATACCTACATTTTCAGGTATCATTTCCTTTTGCTCTGCTCAAAACAAGTTTTGTGCAATTTCTGCAAAGCAAAAAAGAAAATGTTGTCACTGTAAGTTAAATTCATTTTGAGGAAGAGTATTACTGCTTCCACATTTTTCTTTCTGTTCCCTGTCCTTTTTCTTTTTTTTTCCTTTTCACATGCTGGCTTAAACAGTAAAATACTCAGCCTGAACAGCAAATTCCAGGTCAGGACAGAAAACAGTACAGTATCTTAATATATACAATGTCCTTCTTCTGGCCTGTAGAAAATAACAATCCTCTAATTGTTTCTCAGACTGAAAAAATTGCCACTTCTGTTCTGCAAGTTTATGATCTGGCCCCATCGATTATGCTATAAAGACTATCTTGTCTGTCACCCAGGCATATAACTTTTGACAGTCCCTTCTCCTTTGATCCACACACTCAGGCCATAACCAGAACTTGCCACATCCCTTTCTATAAAATGTCTAAGATGCACTAATCTTTTTTCTACCCACACCAAGAAAACACTTGCCCAGGTTCTTCTTATCTTAGTAAGATAATTGAAATTGTAACTACTCCTCCTTTCTTGCCCCTCGAAACCATACCAGTCCCCTCTAGTCTATTTAAAACAAAGTTTCTGAGAGTATCTTCCTTCTCCACTATTGGATTGTCTTGGAAATACTGCATTAGCACTCATATTTTGAACCACATAAATTCAAACTGCTTGCCTTCTTCCTTTAAAATCCTTCACAGATAGGTTCTTGCTTTCTTAAGTATACTCATTGTAATTATTTGCCTTGCATTCCGATCAGAAAATACATTATCTTTAGTAAACACTTTGCTGGAGTCTGAGAGTATATCCCTTATCACATACAATTGAGAAGCTGTCACATATATCACCAGACAAAAGTGTGGTGCTCAGGGGGGGATACACTGTGCTACCAGAAGCCTCCAGCTCACTCCTAAAAGAGCAGCTACACATTTCAGGAAGTAACACATTACAGAATGATTCTCCTATTTAGATTTATGCCTAAAATAGAGGAGCCACAACCTCGGGCGTCAGTAGAGTTTTCATCAGCTGATTAAGCATGACAGATGAAGCCAGCTCCTGACCTTTATAAAGCTGGGGGTGGGGTGGGGGAGTGGAGAGAAATGGCCTCCCTTTCACCTCCTTATTCAATGGTACACTTCCTCAAACAAATAAAAAGACAGTTTTGCAGCTGAACAAGAGGCCATGCATTTAGCTCTGAGCCCGTCAAGTTGTTCAATCAAGGAGGAACATGAGACTATATGATTTGCCTGTTCTTTGCTCCTAGTGTGAGCCATCCCTCTTAAGTGAAGAATAATAGCTGTCAGTTACCCAGGCCCTGGCATTCCTGTTTGGTATTCTGTTAATAAAATGTTAACTTTCTGCTGTCTATGTTATTACTTTAGACACACACGTACCAGACTTACTTTAAATATACACACTGAAAATGGCAATAAATCTTTTCTAATACTAGGAACTCAATTTCTGAGTACAACCAAAACCCCGAGATTGGTTCAGAACCTTTTAAAGAATTTTTCTCATTTAAGGATTCTGCCTGGATAACAACATCTTCACTGAAGTTACATACAGTAAAATCTGGCCCGCTGAGCTGAACCCTCCTGGAAATATGTTTGATTTCTTTTGTAAGAGACTGGTGGGGGATGCATATTCTGTTCTCTTAGAGAAATACCAGGGGTGTAACAGGCACCTAGATGCTCCTGTTACATCAACAGAGTACAGCAGGCTCAGCTGGTTGTGCGGAGCTTCAGTAGAAGAACACAAGTTGGCCCTTAAGCAAAGGGGAAATTCCTGTGTGTGGCTAGAAAACCACACACCAGGAAGGGATGGGACTTCAAAGAATATAAGCCAAGAACACGAGCCAGAAGGGGCAGTCTAGCCCTGCATGCTGCAGAGATAGGAGCCTCCTGGGGAAGTTGGCTGCAGAAAGCAGGCCCACAGACACCAAAGCTACCCATGAGAGGAAAACCAAGACAGTTAAGGGGGAATGCCTGAGTATAGTTTGTGGTTGGGTATTGACCCATGGTAGAGGGCACCTTTTGTGGGAAGCAGTTTCCTAATATTTCTGTTATGCTTAAACTTAAGACTGGAGGACCAGGTTCTGGCTACAGAGAAGTATGGAAGCCATAGGGACACTAGAGAGGCACCCAGCATAGAACTTCCTAGCCAGGGTCAGGACCCCAGCGGCTGAGCAATGTGTCAGCCTCCTAGCCAGGGTCCCATAGGCAGGATCCCCTTTTATATATATGTAATAGCAAGTTGTGGCAGGAAAGAGATAGGAGGGAAGGAGGGCAGGAAACACAGACAGGCCAGTCTGGCCACTAGTAGAGGTGCAAGACTCTGGCGAGATTACCTGAGCCTATCACAGAAGGGAATATTTAAAATATGTTAATTCAATTTTATTAATAGCATAATTTAAAGGGGCAGGATAGTGATATATTTGTTGTGTCAGATGTATCTCAGCCAGTAATTAAGGAACTGACCTTTGTTGGTTTCCATAATACAGTCTGTATTACAGTCCTATTTACTTTTTAAATCAAGATTGGATAATTTTCTGAAACAGATGCTGTAGTTCAAACAAAACTTAGTTCAAGTAAATGATTATAAAGCCTGAGTTAGACAGTAGGTCTCCCAGGATACATTGCAACCATTAGATTTCCACAATATATCATAGTGCTTCAAGGCTTAAATGCATCACGGGAAATATAGTTCATCCTAGAAGGCTGGCCTAGAAAGGAGAATGGGGGGTTGAGGCACCTCAAGCACCTGTCCTGTAGGGCACCGAGACAGGCCAGAAGAACACAAATTCTACTGATCTAAAAGTGTTTCTAGTCAGTTTGATAAACCTAAGGTTTCAGTTCAGGTTAAGTTATCTCTTAATGAAATATTTTGGCATTGGTTCTGTGTCCAGTTTGGGTCCTCATACATCAAGAAAGATGTAGACAGATTAGAAAGAGTCCAGTACAGAGTGACAAAAACGATTAGGGGCCTGGAAAGCATAATAGGCTGAAAGAACTAGGTTTATTTAATATGAAGGGTGTTTATAAAAAGGACAGATTAACTTTTCTCTGGGACTGTAGCAGAGAGGACTTCTCCCTTAAACTACATCAGAAATGTTTAGGTTGGAGATTACTAAGAACTTTCTGACTATGAGAGTGACCAAGCATTGGACCAGGCTACCTAGAGAAGTTGTGGAATCTCTATCCCCAGAAATTTCAACAGCAGGTATAGGCCACTTACAAGTGCAGCTACAGTGTACCCGCCTCTGGAGGCCTACTAGTGCCTACACCCTCTGATCTGTCCCCTATTCAGTATTCTTGTCCGCCATGCCTTTGATGTTAGCATTAGTAGGGAAGGTTGCACAGAGAGTAAGCCACGCTTTTAAAGAAGCAGGCCCTATCTCGTCAGAGGCTCCCCCTTCGCATCATCCCAATTTTACTCTCATTGAGCCCTCTAGTTCAGGGTCCACTGTTCAGGGCTGCAAGCTCCTGGCTCAGCTCTGGTCATGCCCCATGACCTCAGGTTCCAGGACCCACAATGGGGTCCTGCTATGTAGACAGCTAGGGGCCTGGAGCTCTGTTCTTCCCCTGCCACCTCCTATATTATAATGCAGGCAAGCTTGGCCTCCTGTAGTCACCAAACATAATTTGACCATCTGGCTTTACAGTCTGGGCAAACCTGGCCTCATTCAGCCACAGAACACACTCCAGTCCTTATACTCTGCCCACTGCATGTCCTGAAAGATGAGGGGGCATGGCAACCACCTGCAGGTGGCAGCGGTGGTGGGCGTGTGGTGGTGGCAAGCAGGGAGCTTCCACAGGTGGCCATGGCAGTGTCAGCAGTGGACGAGGGGGGTGGAGAGCGCCGACTGGCAGTCAGCGACTACCTGTAGACACTGCCAGTGGTAGCAGCCAGTGGCAATCGGCAAGCACCTGCAAACACCACCAACAGTGTCAGCAGTGAGAGGAGGGGGTGACAAGCAGTGACTGCCTGCAGGCACCACCGGCAGCATCAGCAGCGGTGAATTGTAGGGGGTGTACCACCAACCTCAGGGGGTGCACGTGAACCCACGTGCATACCCTATGCATCGCCAGTGGTCCACTCAGTGCAATTTCAAGTTTGGGTTATCCTTTGGTCACCCCCTGCAACCCAACCAAAATGGGGGGAGGAGGGCAAGGAATGGAAACCAAAAAATGCAAGCACCAGTCCTGGTTCAAAATAATGTCCTGCATGGGGTTTGCCACACCCCTTGGTGGCAGGTTCCAAGTAACCTGCGTTTATACTGTGTCACATGACCCCTCTACTTCCTCTCTGGGTCATCATCAGCAGGGATCTGTGTTT